CTTCCGCTTCAGTTTCATTCACAATCATATTCTGGTCCAAGAAAAAACATACATTCACAGAGATTATACTGAGTTTATATAATGATGAAGAAGTGCAGTGGCATTTTCGTCTTTGTAATGCTTGCCTTAGCGGCGTTGGTGGTAACAACGACAACGGCTCAACAATGTGGAAGACAAGTGTATGGGTCTCGTGCCTGCCCTAACGGCCTCTGCTGCAGCCAGTACGGTTACTGCGGCTTAACGGCCCAGTACTGCGGACCTGGCTGCCAGAGCAACTGCCACCTCCCTTCATCTTCCTACGCTGCCGCCGACGACACCACTTCTGCCACTGCCGAGTCGTCGGACCATACCACCCACGGCGGTTCCAACTGATCGGATGGCCATGATTCATCACGGAGTATATGAATAAAGTATATATGTCGAAGATGTTGTATTAATAAGCTAAGGTAGAATGCTAGCAGGTGGCTGGTGGGACGAACATGCATGTGGTCGTTTCACCCACCTGCAATCCCTTCATTCCCTTGCCTACGTACTTTCCAATAAAAGAGTTTTACCATTTACAAACTATGTTGATTATATTTAAAATTAAAACGAAAAAAGAATAGAAAAATATGTTTTCATTTGGATTGTACTTCGTAATTTTCAGTATCGTCTAATGAATTTGAAGGTCCAGATCAAATTGCAAAATTGAGGCTCCATATATAAATAAAAGTAATATCACATATATTAACAACTCACATATAGTTCAACAAAATTAAGTGTGCTCAAGTGTTCATATAGATAAAAACACATTTAACATAACTACATATTAATATTATATTATTATATAATACTACCTCCGTTCTCTTTTAATTGCAACATTGGACTTTTTGAACTATTCACATATTCTACTTTGACTATATTTTAGTAATTAATGTATTATAAATTAAATTTTTAAAAATTATTGTTAAATTCTTCTCATTCGAAATTTTCAAAATATGATTTTTTTAAAATTTTTTACTAGTAGGGAATGAAAGATATTAATGATCGAACTTGTGCATTGGCAAACGTGAAATGTTAATTGTTACAATTGAAAGAGAACGGAGGAAGTATAACTATATAATTGTAATACGAATATTACAAAAAATTGGGGCCCCTAATTTTGGTGGGCCCTGTTTCAGGTGACCTATTTAACTTGCTAAAAATGGCTCTGGTAATTTTCTAGTGTAGTATTATTGTATTTTACTATATATTGTACAAGCCTAATATGTTCTTAATCATTTCATTCGATCTGGTGTAGTTTCTCAAGTCGGGTCTGGCTGTAGACCCATCTAAATATGCATGCAATGTCCAAAAAGGGATGATAAAGAACTCGACTTTTTTTAAACTATTTAAGTTCAAACTCGATTTCGAATTTAGTATAATGCTTTGAACTCAAGTATAGTAGTATTTGGCTTAACTCGAGCTCGAGTCTATCGAACAACTTAAAATTATAGGTACAATTTATATATATCACAATTTAAATGTAATTGATTAGTATCGAGCCTATTGAGTCCATCGAGTACTTGTTGATTAATTCGAGCATGAACTTGTTAACGAGTATCATCTAAAATTTGAATTCAATCGTATTTATCGAGTGCTTGGTTTGACCATCAATCGAACACCTAAAAAGCCGAACATGAACCTCATTTGTAAAGCGCATCGAGCTTCGAGCTAAAACCCGAAGACCACTATTATCGAATCAAGCTGAACTCGAGCTTTGAGTGTTCATGCTCGGCTCGTTAATTAACAGCTGCATGTCCAGGTCAAAACATCCTTAGCTTCTAATTAATTGAATGCTTCATTTTCAAAATATGACTTATTTGGTCGTCCTAACTCCTAATATACAAATTAATCAAAACTACTTTCATCTTTTGAGGTCAATTAAGTTGTATTTTGAAAATAGAAATAATAGTCCTAGCTACATAAATTTATAAAGTTCCAATCAATTATTCTAATATAGAAAATTTTCAGATAATCCGAACTAGCTAGTTGTTCAATTTAATTAAACAAATCTATTCAAACACATGCCTTTCTTTTTTGCAACGGCACATCGCACATGCATACATGGGTGATAGGAAATAGCCATGATCTTCAACTTCCACTTCATCCTTGCACCTCTCCCCTCCCAGCACTTCGCTGATTTCTGGGCTTTTAGCTTATGTGCTTGGATCTTCATCATTGCTTCCTTCACCTTTGGCTTTTAACTCCATCCAAGTGATTCCTGAATCTTGTTGTTGTCATTACCTTGGAGGATTATTCCTTTAGGCTGCTCTAATACTTCTAAAGCCTCAGAGTTGATAGTAGAATCTGCCCTGAAAGTAGCTCGTAGTCTCTCAAAAATTCTATTCACAGTGTGGTGGATGGTTGATGAATTTAAGTGCTTCATGTGTGGCCAATCAACTCCAGAGTCTGTATAAATTAAACACTGTGATAATACTTGACAAGCAATTAATTTTTTGGAGGAAGCACATCCATGTTGATTACCTTAGCTGTTGCATCCACAAAATGCTCATCAACCACGGTTGCAATGTCTTCTACAAGAATTTTCTCTAATTCTTCTCCTTTCATCTCGATTGCTCTTAGCTTCAATGATATCTTACTGGAATTCAAGTGTGGATACCCTTGAATTCGCTCAACTACTCCCTGAACCTTCCATTTTATACTTCGTTTCTGAAAGTTTATTTCCACATCACCCAAAGTAGTCAGCCACTCTATACCAAGCACAAAGTCTGTATTTCCAGATCCAAAACATAAAAGTGCTGATTTATTTTGGTGCCTTGTAAACCTAGTGTTAGATCCTCACATCTGCCATTTTTGATAATCTTCTCTCCATTACCAATTTGAACTCTGTATCCAGTAATGGTGTGTATGCTTAGTCCCAATTGAACCACCAACCTCTGTGATATAAAATTGTGGGTAGCCCCACTATCAATGAGTACTTCAACCTCTGCCCTCCCTGCAGCCCATTCTAAACTCCCTTTCACCTGGAAAGTCCTTATAGAAGGTATCCCTTCCTTACTCATAAGAGACAGCTGCATTGACTTAAATTCCATGGTGGTTACTTCTTTAGCTGCAATTTCCACTTCTGCACCTTGTCCTTTCTTCCATTTTTCCCCACACTTAAAGCAAAGTCCTTTCCTGCTCCTGTCCTGATATTCTTCCTGTGACAGTTGTGGCCCCACCCTTCTAATATCTGAGGGAGTTATTTATGTCTCCTTATTGCCATCAGGAGTAAACCAAGATGGTTTACTCTTGTTTTCAGCTGCACTCTTCCCAGAAGTATTAGGCCAAGAGTTTCCCATTTTAGGTTTAAATCCTCCAGTCCATGCTTGTGATTTAACAGCAGCAGTTCCCTTCTCCTTCCAGGGTAACATGCCTTCTTCTTTGCTCTTCAGATATATTGCTTCATTCCTACTCTCAATTAGTAGAGCTCTTGTAACACCGTTCCCAATTATATTTACTTTTATGTAAATCATGTATTGAACCTTATGAACTGATTGATGAATTTATGAGGTTGAAAAATTTTGTTATTACCTTTGCGTGAATAGTGAATTGCACGTGGGGCCCACACCGGGAGCGGGGACCACCCGATAATTCCGGGACCACATATTATGTTCAGCTTAGTCTAGATAATATGTATATGGTGGTAGATATTTTAGTAGGGCCATAGAAAGAGGCATAGGGTTGACCCCTTGGTCAAACGAGCCCCAATTACCGGTATTGGTAATTTATCATATAACAACCCAAAACGGATTTCGGTGACTTTTAGATTAAAGATGAGGAATGTATATTCATTCTAAAAGTCCATAATGATGGGAAACACATACTACCTCCGTTCCTTAAACGGATGCGAGCTAAAATGGATATTCATGTGGATAACCTGGAACGAAAAATACTTGAGGTTCCAGCGGAGATGAAGGAGGAATTACAGTCGGCTGTGAGCGATCAGCGTTCAGCGGAGATGAAGCAGTTTCGGTCCAGGGCTAGATCGCCATCACCACATCAGCCTCAGACGCGATCTTCTAACACTCCAACAATAGTCCAACCAGTTCCGGAGGTAATCCAAATCACTCTCCCATCCAAAATCACAGAATACATGAGGATTGTAATATATTTACGGTTCAAATTGGAAGGAAAATCGATTTACCTACGTGTATTAGCTATGGAGATCTCCGTAGCAATATTAAATCGATTTTCCTTCCAGTTTGAACCGTAAATCAATTTAGCTACTAAATACAATATTAACTACGGAGATCTGTAACTAAAAACAATAAATAATTATAACTGAAATCCTAGAATCTGGATTCTTCTACCGCCTTGAGTTCACTTGCCTAATCTTTTACTTTATTTTTCCTGAAAATGTACTGTGTGAGTGTGTTGATAATTTAAATTTATTAAAAGGCCTTCTTAAGTTTCTTAGCATGACTACTTAAGAAGTTAATATAATTGTAGAATTGCAAATAGCTCAGACTTATTTGCCCCGTAATATATAAGCTTTAGCCTCTGCAATAATTTTTATGTGTATAAAAATAGTTCGTTTTGACTATTATTTGCTAAATAGTCTCGTTTAGACCACACTATCGCTGTATGTCTATATTATAGTAGTATTTTTATATAAAGTGAATACTCTTTATCACTCTGTTTATATGTGTGTATAATACTCCTCCTTTCGTCCTGATAAGATTATCTCATTTTACATTTTCACACTACTAGAAAAATGGTCTATAGTGACACTAAATTAGTGTCACTAAAAGTTTTATATATAGTTAAGCACACAATTAGTTATATATATGAAGTCACAGTGACTAGTGTACGACTTTAAGACTAGTCAATTAAAAATAATTTATGTATTAATATAGATTCAACATAACTTATTCGGTCTGTGATAAAACTTAGAAAACAGAGAAAAATGTGCTTTATTTTCAAGTTTCAATTTCAAAAGTAATTTAAATATAAAAGGTAAATTTATACACACTTACTTGCACCAAAGTTCTATAATAGAGTTCGAAACCTTCTCACAGTTGATGACTAAGTAGCACATGTCCTTGTTAAAGGTAGTTTTGGTAGGGAACCCAAACACGTCTGCATCATTCTGGATCATATACCCGTCCCCCATGCATTTGTCAACGAGGAAGGAGAACATCTTCATGTTAACACTTTTTTCTTTTCTTTTATCTGCCAATGACCTCGTGGTTCGTTGCATATTCAGTTTTCTAGCAGGTGCAACCTTTTTCTTCATTTCAGGCCTGCTGCGTACTTCTACAATCTGTACACCACCCTTCTCCAATTCTAACCCCTTATAATGTACTGGTGCATCACAGCCTACTGGTTCTATCTTCTGCGAGAGATGGCGGGGGGATCTCCTTGGGAGGTATTTACCTTGTCCACTCATTTTTGGACTTTGCATTTCAAGCTTCACAGTTTTTACACACTGTTGTTCCTCCTCTTCAGTTTCTAGCCTAGGATGTCCTGCCAAATCTCCCCCTGCGGACCTATCTCCAAGTTCTGCTACCTGCCATGCCATATATGCAGATTTGAAATTTTAATTGTTAACATTTCATTTCATAGTTTTAGAAGTTTGTAATACTACCTTTCTTTTCCCATTTCTTCTCTTTGGACGTTCTTCATCATCATCAATTGGTGGCTTAGGTTGAGACCTTCTAGAAACAGAAGCCTCACATTTTTTATTAGGGGTAGTATCTGGCTTCTCAATCTCCTCATCAACCTGCAAAAACAATACCTTCAATATAACTTAAGCAACTTATAAGGTATGGCAGATTTATAATTTATATAAATGAGTAGTATAACACCTTTTGTTTTCCATTTCCCCTAAATGGAGGCTTAATGCCAACACTACAGCTGCCAATATCACTAACACCAACAAGGGCAGTGATGTGTTCTTTCAACTCATCGAATCGTTGAACCATCATCGCATATCTTGTAGCACAAATTTTCTCCGCTTCTTCATGCTCTGCAGCTTTACCCATAGGTGTGTTAAAGTACTTAGATGTAGTGATGGAGCGACCTAATCCTTGTACTCTACTTCCATTTGGCCTTTTATCTAGGGCAGCCGTGAGTATGTCATTACAACCATTTGGAACAAACAACCCATCTTGAACCATCTTCTGCAGCTCTTTCTATAAAAAAAAGCTATCGTAGTTAAAGTAAAATACAACTTTAAGTTGTTAAATCATTTCAGTAGCTATCATTATAGTAGGTAAACCATTCCGGTGTTTGAGTTGGATCACTAGTGCCTCTCGCCCTACATGCAATCAATATAAAACGCTATCAAATCAGTCGGTGAACACACTTTAATTTTAATCTGCCCACTGGAGTAAAAAGGAATAGCATTCATTGCATTGAAATTTCAAACTATCTTATCCCTATAAATAGTTAAAGTATTGGGAAATGTTACACCAATGCTTGCACTAGTTATACTCTATTGTACAACAATTAAGTTGATTAACCCTAACCATAATATTTATTCCAAATATATATTTTGAATAAAAGCTTAAGTGTATGATACATACAACTTTCTCAGCAATTTCTTTCACGTCCTCATCATATTCTCCATTTTTTTTCTTTCTTCCCAAAAGCCATGTATCCGCACGATCGATATCCTTCAGCATACCTCCAAGCTCTTTTTGCTATCAAATCAAACACACAAAAAAGAGTAATTCAAGCAAGTAGTGAAATAAATAAATCATTAAGCATGATTTTTAAGTAAGCATAAAAATATCATGAGACTTGAAGATAAACAATAAGAAATAAAACTCTTCAGATTGAAAATGATTAATTAAGGATGTAGAGATAAACCTTCTTCTTTAGCAGCCCTGCATAACCACCGGACCCCAACCGATGATTGTACCTTATATTCTTTCTTCTCTCCTTCGCTTTTTCACTTTTGGCCTGCATGTTTGAATCATTACGTCAACAGTTTCAGTTTCATATTGTAGACAATATGATAGTGCAATTTTGTTTAAAATTAAATTCCCATATAACTGACTTTAAATTCTTGTTTGAAAGTGTTTTTAACAAAGAGTCTCCATTCATCAGTTAATATGTGCTTAAACTCTTCAGGAGGAAACCGCAACTTCTTGGAACCCTCCTTGTAGTGCAAGATAAACTCGTTCCGCAAAGTGAATCTGAAATTTCTTAGAGCAGCACTCATTGTACTAAAGACTTGTTTTTGAGACGCAGGAGTCAACACAAACAGTTTCTGCATTTCAAAATAATAAGAAATATTACTGTGAGTATAAAATAAGATTAATATGTTAATTGGAAAGTAATCAGATACAGTGAACTTATTTCTTACACAAAGATAATTCCAACAGTCATCTTTTACTTTAGCAGGAACATTTCTCCAGTCATCATAAATTATGGGCACGTTATCCCTCACCACAACCCCTATATAATTGGATAGGTTGGTCCATCCATCACCCCAAAGAACACCAAATTCATTTACTTCCACCTCCACTCGGTCGTCAGAAGCCTTCCGAAGTAAATGTTTTTTTTTTGTCTTTTGTCGCCTCTGTTGGCTCTCAATACAATCATCTAGGTCATCCTCTTCATTGAAGTCATCCATGACTTCTTCACCTTTTGACATAGCTTCTTGTATCCTAAAAAGATCAAAGACATTTAATGTTATTACTCAACCACTTCAATGTAAAATATTACTCTAAGAAAAATTAATGAATTTATAATTACTTACCAAAAAGCCTAAAAAATCAGTCCAGCTTTGACTAATTACCAATACCTTGTGCATCCAAGTCTAGTCTATTATAGATATGATCATCATCCGGGTTTTGGGTATCAATAACATGAACGGGGTAATTTGATGTTAGGGGTTCATGAATTACTAGGTCATCAGATCCAAAATCTAAACCTTTATTAAGTCTTTGACCAACTGAACACACAATTGAGATTTTCTGATCACGTTGATCTTTTACGTAAAACACTTGTTTTGCATGAGAAGCTAAAATAAAACAATCTTTTTTGTGACCAATTTTTTTAAGATCTACAAGTGTGAAGCCCAATTTATCTTCTTTTACATGTCTACTATCCACCCAATCACACTTAAACACAACCCTCGTAGTCATGAGATAGTGAAGAACCCAAATTTCATCAAGAACACCATAGTAATTCATGGAGCGTGTGGCTGGAATGCTATCCTTGGAACCGGAAACTAGAACAGTGTCTCCTACAAGGCTAACCCCGCTATTCTGTGTCACACGATTTGAATCTCGATCCTTTGTAGCAAAGCTAAAACCATTTATAATGTAGCCCGAGTAAACTGTCACAGTTGTGTTGGGCTTCTTTGACAGCCACCTAACTGTTTCGTCATCTATCACACCATTTGCAACATCAACTTTAACCTAAATAAGTATAGTTAGTATTATATTTAATATGTGATACACAAAACCTTATAGTTTGTAGGTATAAGTCTTAAGTTAATGACCTTCTCTTCAAACCACTTTGTAAAAGTACGATAATGCTCTGTGTCACAACACCCAATATCTAGTGCTTGTAGGTGCAACATATGATTCCTAACATTTTATAAGAGGAAACCGATCAGATATTTAATTTCAACAAAGATTACAAACAAGATTAAACTGTTAAACCTTAGGACTTACGTTATGTACGGTTGGACTTCCGGAGTATTAAATAATACAGTTCGATGTGCTTGCTCTAACCGTGAGAGATCGACAATATGAGTGTCTCCCTTACCAAGAGGCCTTTCAATTGGAACATCATCATCACAATGTATAGGCAACCCAATTGCTCTATGGTTGGAGAGATATTCAGCACAAAACTCAAGAGCTTCCTCTGCTGCATACAACTCAGCAATGCATCCCTCTGGATGATAATGATTACGGACATGCCCCTTTAACAGTTTCATGCTTCTTTCGAAAGGGTACATCCAACATAAATAAGGTGGGCCACATAACCGGATTTGAGCCACAAGATGGACCGTCAAGTGAAGCATGATGTCGAAAAAAGAAGGCACAAAATATTGCTCAAGGGAACACAATGTGACTCGATACTCAGCCTCTAGTTTGTCAAGTGAATCCATATCCAATACCTTGTCACATATTGCATTAAAAAATAAACACACACCAGTGATAGCATGAGTAACATTTGATGACAAAGACATATTTCGGATCGCTAATGGAAGAATTTGTTGCATTAGAGTGTGGCAATCATGAGATTTGAGGCCTAGAAGTCGAAAATCATCATCGGAAACAATACTTTTGAGGTTAGATGAATAACCATCAGGCACCTTGGTCTCCAGAATGGTTTGACAGAACTTTTTCTTGTCTTCCTTGGAAAGAGTGTACGGTGCGGGGGGTAGAGAATTTCCTTCTGGAATCAAACTTTTCCTTATCTTTAGATGAATAAGGTCATTTCTAGCTTTCGGACCATCTTTGGTCTTTGTTGGTTGATCAAGTAGTGTGCCATAAAAGTTCTCACACACATTCTTCTCAATGTGTATTACATCGAGTAGATGACGAATTAGCAAATGTTGCCAATACTCTAAATCAAAGAATATTGATTTGCGCGTAAATAACCTAGGCGTGTCATTATGTTTGCTGCCCCGTTTTCGTTTCCGTTTATTTCCCTCGTGTTTCCCAGGTATGTAGTTGATTGATTCAACCTCTTTGAGGACATCTTGACCTGAAAAGGCTTTAGGGGGTCCCTCTCTCTCTACTTTGTTGTTGAAAACCTTTTTCAACTCTCGGAATTTATGGTCATGAGGTAAGAAACGACGATGGTCCATATACACACATTTCTTGCTGAATTTCAGCCATGTAGAACGAGTTTTTGGGCCACAAATGGGACATGCATAATAGCCTTTGTACGTACAGCCGGATAAGTTACCGTACGCCGGAAAGTCACTAATAGTCCACATAAGTATCGCCCTCATTTTAAACATCTCCTTTTTAAAAGCATCATAAACATCTACACCTTCGTTCCAAAGGATTTTGAGGTCATCGATCAATGGTTCTAGGTAGACATCTATATCATTTCCGGGTTGTTTCGGACCAGATATTAGTAGAGATAACATCATGAATTTTCTTTTCATGGTCAACCAAGGCGGAAGATTATAAATGACTAACTGGATTGGCCAACAACTATATCTAGAACTAAGTGAGCTATGTGGATTCACTCCATCACTTGACAAAGCCAATCTGAGATTCCTAGATTCTTCACTGAAGTCTGGCCACATTTTATCAATGTGCTGCCAAGCTGCACAGTCAGCTGGATGACGTAGTTTACCATCTTTCAACCGATCGGTGACATGCCAAGTCATGTTTTCAGCTGTGTTGGATGATTGAAACATGCGTTTAAACCGCGGAATAGGAGGAAAATACCATAACACTTTCACAGGAACTCCATGGCTATGATTTATAGCTCCGTTCTTTTTTTCCTTAAACCTACTCTCCCCACACGTTGGACATTTGTCATGATCGGTGTGTTGTTTATGAAAGAGGACACAATCGTTCCGACAAGCATGTATTTTTTGGTAATCTAATCCTAAGACTTTCATTATTTTCTTGGCCTCATACATTGACTTGGGAATGGAATTATCAGAAGGCAATATGTCACTAAGTGCTTCTAATAAAGATGTAAACCCTTGATCAGACCACCCATATTTTCCTTTGATGTTAAATAATAACATCACCCCAGACAACCTTGAATAACTTGAACCTGGGTAAAGTGGTTTCTCAGCATCTTCAACCACATCTCTAAACCTCTTCGGATTATTGTCTAACTGGTCATAAATATCCCCTAACATGTCCTCAACTTGGTCGTGGTCATGAAACTGTGAATGTGAGGTGTTAGGTGTTGGATTTTTTTCAACCTCCCCATGCTTAGTCCAAACAAGATATGATTCCAGAAAGCCCACTTTGAATAAATGGACTTTGATTTTTTCAAGGGATTGAAAGTCCATATTGCAACAAGTTTTGCATGGACACCTAATTGACCTACGATTGGCAGAATTAAGTATAGCACAGTGAATGAAATCATTGACTCCTTTTATATATTCTGGAGACAATCTGTTTCCATCCCTAATCCAAGACCTATCTGTTTGCATATTCATACCTGATATGTGAACACAAAGACAAAAGGACCAACTCAAACAAGATAGACTATTAAAAAAAATATAATTATTAACCACATATCTGTGGCGGCAAAATAGTTAACCAACTAATGTATACAACAATGTTCGTAATTGCGTATTGCGTAATCATGGCGGATTTTTAGAATTGCATATTGCGTAAACCTCATTGCGCAATGAGGCGTATAGCTGAGGCGTGTGTGTCTATATATATATATATATGTTAATTTAGCAGTAGTTAAGTTTCTGCATATTAGTATATTAATTTTTCAGTTTGATGTTTTCATATAAATTTAGCTACCCCGTTTAATGTTAATTTAGCGGCAGTTAATTTTTCTTCATATAAATATAATAATATGCAGAAACTTAACTGCTGCTAAATTAACATTAAACGGGGTAGCTAAATTTAACTGAAAACATCAAACTGAAAAATTAATAGAACATTAAATGGAGAAGCTAAATTAAACTGAAAACATTAAACGGATAAACTTAACTGCTGCTAATTAACACTAAACTTAACATTATAACAGAAAACATCAAACTGAAAACTAAACAGAACATTAATATTACATCAAAGTTGGAGTTATCATTAAATATTATAACTGAAATCAAATATTGATAATGTTAAGTTGAAATAAGCAAAAATAACATAAACAAAAAGCAAATAAGCATCAAACGGAGAAGCAGTATATACTATATACCAAAACGTAATTTTTCTGCAACTAATTACTCAACGAAAATGGCAGCTTTAGGCTGTATAACATGTGATTTTTCTGCAACTAATTACTCAACAAAAATTACAGCTTTAGGGTACAGCTTTAGGGTGTCCAACATTACATTTTTCAGCAGCTAATAACTCGATCAAAAGTATAATTTTAGACTGTCAAGGTAACATTTTTCAGCAGCTAATAATAACTCAGCCAAAAGTATAGTTTAGGCTGCCAAAGAATGCATTTTCAGCAGCTAAAAACTCAACCAAAAGTATAGTTTTCTTATTGAATCTACGGTTGCTAACACATACCATCGGACTACACCAAAATGACTCTACTTGAGAGTGACAGAAGAAAGTTTGTAAACATGAAGCTTTGAACCATTTAGTTAAAATTTCACAAATGAGAAAGTGCAGCAATGCTTGAATTCGATAGGGAGACGCTGGCATATTTCTCTCCCTATTTTACCACGAAGGTAATTAATTTTATGGAACTCTTTTTTCTGTAAACATTCTTTTTGTAGTTGGATTACATATTAGTATATTAGTTTGTTAAATAAAAGTCATAGAACACTTACTATCATCACTGAAACTGCAAAAAAAAAATGGCATCCTAAAAATATAAACTTTATTCATTAATAAAACTGAAAAGAAAACAAAAAACTGTAATAGTAACAACCTATCTATCCGAACAGCTAAGAATTCACTCCGAAGCCAAAAACTACATATCACAAATACCCTTGAACATAATATAGCTACAGAACAAGAATTAGAAACATTTCAATAGAATCAGTTGACAAATTACCAAAGAAAACTTAAACCTCGACCAAATCAATAAAATCCCACAAAACAAATCATATGATACCTCACAATTGGGAGGGATGAAAGAAAGATGTACCTTCCAGTGACTGCAATGGGGTATTAGGAACTGAGATGAGCGCTTTCTGAGAGCTTAATTCGTCGATGATTCTCTCGGGTTCAGCCAGCAAGAGGAGAGCTTGCGTCGTCGAAGGGGGTGGGGATTAATTTGATAGTTATTAGTTCGAAGGAGCAAGAGGAGAGCTTGCGTCGAAGGGGCTAGAGCATGCGTCGGTATAGCTAGGGTTCTTACGAGCTTGAGCGACAATTCCCATTTAGGAAGAGATGAGGAGTTGATGAAATGTAAGAGTGGGCTGAATGTTGAAATGTATGTATGTGGGCTGGATCGATCGGATGAGATTTGGAAAAAATGGTTAAGTGTTGGAGGAAATTAAATTAAGTGAATTGTTGTGGTGGGGCCAACAAATAAGGAGGCAAAGATGTGGAGGGAATTATAATGGATGAAAAAAATGGAGGGAATTAAAAAGTTGGAGCCAAAAGAGTGGTAGCATTTCGGCTCTAATATCACTATTTTTATTGATATTATAGTGTCATGAGTTAATGACACTTTTATGTCAATTTCAGTTAATGCAACTGTCAGTGACACTAATTTTAAAAAGTGTCACTAAAAAAGTGTCACTGTAAGACAGTTTTCTAGTAGTGTCAAAAAATTCTACTAAGATTGTCTCATACTCCCTATGTCCCATTGGACTTAACCAATTTTCCTATTTTTGGCTGTCCCAAAATACTTTGACACTTTCCTATTAAAGCAACTAATTTGTGGTTCTACACGTTTCTCTTTCTCCTCTGCACAAATCTCAACCACACAGTTTTTACTATTCTTATTTCTCACCTACTTTGCACTTGGCAAAGTCCACCGGGACGGAGGTAGTACTAAATTTGGTAAAGTATGTGTGACTCTAAATCACTTTTACTTTATTTTTACTATATCAATTCAATATGAATCATAATTGTTTTAATAATCGTGTCACTACCTCTCGTCTAAATGGTAGTGGGACGAAAATAGTACTCCCTTCGTCCCACTTTGTAAGACAATTTATGGTTTACGATGTTTGACCAACGATAAAGCACTCAAAGTTGTTTTTGATTTTTTTTTACATATTCAGAAACTACATTAAAAGCTTTACAAAGTCGGAAAACCTGAACCAAATTTGATAAAAAATTAATTTATAAAGTAAGAGATTAAGAGTGATTTGTGTTAACCAAGTGAATAGGAAACATATCTTACAAATTGGGACTGAGGGAGTACTATTTATAAGTAAATTCAACATCTTTCTAGAAATTGCTAATTAAACACAATTTATGTGATGCGATAGGCCGGGAAATGATTAGTTGTGAAGATCGACAAAATGTAGTTTGGGGGGGTCGAACTTAAAAATATTACATTGTTGTTGAAATCTCACCGGTAAATTAATCAGTAATAAAGTGTTATATTAAGATTCTAAGTTATTTCTTCTATGAATTTGACCTTTTAAGATGGAACTCACATCTTAACATGAGATCAGAGCCAAATTGATGGTGTGGGGTCCCTTAAGAGAAATGTCGGCATGATTACAAAAAACAACAAGACAATGACGAACTAACAAGAAAAATGAAAGACCGCACGATACATACGAAATGTCTGGTCGTAGAGAGGGGTGTTGAAGTCTCACACCGGTAAATTCAGCAGTAATGATGCACTATATTAAGAATTTAGGCTAGTCCCCCTATCTTAACAATTGTGGAGACCAAAACTTAGAAAAATTTATATAATGCAAATTATAAATATTTACGCACACATATAAGAATTTTTCCTTGGGAGTCGGTGCCCCCTCTTACCCCTCTGTGTCACCATCACTTGGCCATTTGGCAGAAGTTGATTTTAGTCAAGAGTCGGTTCAAATGAAATATTCATAAATTTCCTCACATTAACACCATGCTCAAGTAGTTAAGTGTATTATTATATTATAAAATTCAATTTTACAAATGATTCCGTATAAGTTAATTTATAATCCTAATTCCTAGACATTATTTTTTTTATTTAATAAATTCGATAAATGTTTCCCGGCAGGGGCGGAGCCAAGGGGGGGTCAGGGTGGTCAGCTGACCCCGCTGAAAGTTCAAGATTGTAGAGCTCTGAAATACCTTCGATTTGACATATTATGGGTCCCGTAACTCATTACGAGTAAAATGTTATGACTTCTAGAAAAATCAGCACCATCTTAACTTGAAATAGGCAAAATTTGATGTGTGACGTTGATTATATTCTTAAATTTAAAAATAAAACAACTTATTCGGTCATTAGTTGTGTGAACATTATGATACATTACCTATATATCAACACATTAACCGAAAAATTTCCATTAAACTACCATTTATCTCGTCTACATATGAAACATTTAATTCAAGTATTGTATAATAACTATCCATCATTTTGATACTGTATATAATTAAATTTTGACCCCCTCGCACATTTTTCTGACTCCGTCCGTGTTCCCCGGTTTAGCCTACGGATTGGGTGGGGTTTGCCTACCCGATCCAAACAAAAAACATACTACGCTATTTGTTGACAAGAGCTGAGTCAGTCATTGCTCAAAATAGTGAAGAACACGTAGTTATAACGCTATATATACAGAGACACATCATACGTGCATCGATGCATAGCTTAATTCGAGGAAGCTTTTTCTATTTTTAGTAATTAAGCTAGCTACATGGTGAAATCAGCTCAGCTGGTTGTAGCAAGCCAAGCTTTTGCCACTAATTAATAAGGCTTGGAAGAGGTTACTCAGATCTATCACTTATAGCTCTGTCATATAGTACGTATTTTTTTATTACCATTTTCCTTTTTAATTAATTAATTTGTAATTTTTATTACTTTTTTCTTTTCTATACAAATTCAATCACATAATTTATATGTTATTATTTCATGTACATCAAACTTGGTAAGATTTTGAGGGATAATGGAAAAATATTCTTATATATTTTCCCCATCTTCCAATATCTTCATACTTCATAGCCTTTCTCTAAAATTGAAAATGGAAGTAATTAATATAGAGTCATCAACATTATATAATATTATAAAATACGAAGTATATATATATATATATATACGATAATTTTATAATAGTACAATATATTGTACGGAGTAATATTGTAATTTTATAATAGTTCAATACTACCTTCGTCCCGGTGGACTTTGCCAAGCGCAAAGTAAGTGAGAAATTAGAAAAGTATAAACTGTGTGATTGAGATTTATGCAGAGGAGAGTAAAATGTGCAGAACCACATATTTGTTGCTTTAATTGAAAAGTGTCAAAGTGTTTTGAAACAACCAAAAAAGGAAAGTTGGCAAAGTCGAATGAGACGGAAGGAGTATAATGTAATTACAATTATATTGTAATTATAATTTAACGGAGCCATTAATTTATTAAATTAGGGATGAGTGGTAGATTGGCTCACGGCTTCTCCCCAGAGCGATAAGATCCACCGTCAGCTATTTTAGAGTAGCCGTGTGTGGGTGTGGCCGATGATGCAAAGAGGCCCGTTATTTCTGGCCTTTATAGGCATTGCTTGCACCCACCGTCGAGTCTCATACTTACTTTTCACGTATTAAAAACTATCACAAAGTACGAGCTTGTTTGATCACCTTTTTTTACTTATCGGTGCTACAAGTCATTTTTATGATATACGCAACTTTTTATTTCACATATTGAGTTGTGCAAAAAAAAAAAGTTAAGGTTAGAGTTATGATTTGTCTGAATTGGCTGAAATTACAATAAAAGATCATTTTAGCTATTTTTTCATTTAATTTATTAACAAAATATATTTTATAACCATATATAAATACATTGCATGTTCTTTATTTTATTAACAATATACTGCCTCCGTCCCAGTCATTTCTTCCGGTTTTGACCGGTATCGCAAATTTAGGTAGTGAGAATAAAGTGAAAATGTATGGTTGTAGTTATGTAAGAAAAAGGTGAATGAATGTGAACCACATATTTTTTCTAAAAGTGAAAATTTGAAGAATTAATTGGGACGGCCCAAAAAGGAAAGTTGGAAGAAATGACCGGGACGGAAGGAGTATATTTTTAATATAATTTTTTTATAATTGATCGGCAAAATCAATCAATCCATTCATTCAGCCAGAATTTTATAAATTTCAGCAATATCAACCAGTTCAATCAATTTTATCACAACATATAAATATATTTTTTTGTTCTTTATTTTATTAAAAAATATTTAAATATAATTTTTCTCCATATAATTGTTTTATTGAGGTTTATATAGCAAAAAAAATATAAATAAAGAGAAAATAGGATTAATTGGTTTAATGGAAGGCACATTTTTTAGAAAAACAAAAATGAATATTTTAATTTAAACTTGGCAAATTCCAATGAGACGGATAAGATGGAATAACAAATAAATTTAATTCCCCAAAATATGAATAGAATAGGTTTGCTTGGCATAAAAAGAAGTGCATTACTATATACTCACATTTCATGTGACTACAATATATTCCCTTCATCCCGGAAAGGTTTTGTCAAATCGACTTTTCTTGGACAATATTAACCGACTTTGACCAATGATATTTTTCTAACACTAAATTATTTTAGATATAAAAATTATATTAAAATGTTCTTCATTAAAAATACTTTGGTAAAAGTATAAAATTTACATATTATATATAAATATAATAATTAAAATAATTGTCCAAAGTTTGCTAGCATTGACTAAGAAAACTCAATTTGACGAACTTTTTTGGAACGGAAGGATATTAATATACATTCACCTCGTCTCTTTTTAATTTGTCATATTTAACCTTTTCAATTAATGATATTAAACATTGATCAATAACATAATTATATGAAAGTAATTTTAATTTGAAAATAGTATGTAAATGTTCGTTGTTAAAAATATTACCATTAGAGCATAAAACTTAAAATTTTGACAAAAATACTGTTGGGTGTGTTTCGGAAAAAACGAATAAATATTAATTAAATAAAATTAATTAATAAACAAAATTGCTAAAAGAAAATAGAAAATAAGATGGAACAGATTTTAGCCAGAGCTCGTGGTACGCACGATGTCCTTAAAACGTATTCGTCGCCTCCCACGGTGCTAGGAGCGTTGCAACGACCGTTTCCCAGGATACGGTGGCTAACGGACGATCGTTTGAGCACACAAACGAAAGTTCCGGCGAACTGGAACACAGCAAGAACACTTAGGAAATTTGGGAGTAGCTGGAAGTGTTTTTCGCTCAAGAAAACGTGAGGAATGT